CTGGCCAAGTATAAATGCTGTCCTCAGGATAAAGAACAGGAGTACTTGTGACACCTTAGAGACTAACAAATTTATTAGAGCATAAGCTTTTGTGGACTACAGCCCACTTGCATCGAAGGAAGGGGGTTGGAGTTCACGAAATCTTATGCTCTAATAAATTTGTTAGTCTCTAAGGTGTCACAAGTACTCCTGTTCTTTATCCTGAGGACAGCATTTATACTTGGCCAGGGGTAGTACCTGACTACCAAGGGGGGGAGGGGTGTCCCTATTGACGCTGTCTCTCTGTCTCTCACTACTGCTGCCCTCCCAGGTGAAAATGTTTAAGAATTAAGGGAGTTCTGCCCATCACATATTTGGGATTGAGAAGCCTTCACAGATATCTTTAGAGAAGTGAAATTTATGAACCCGTAAAACCTTCAGTGAAGACAAGGAGTTGTGTATCTTATCATTTGCATAGGCCTTTTATTCCTTTACTTTTCTCTGTTCATATGTCTATTCCAACATTGCCTTCTAAAAAGACTGTGACGCTAGCATTCATCCCAAGACTCATTTTTAGCAGGACTCCTCGCAGAATATGACAGAGACTCTCCTTTTACAAATAAAAAAGCCGTACGGGTTAAGAGGAGAGCAGGTGAATCTGGTACTGATAGAGGCTTACGAGCACCGTACTGCATATCTGCATGCTGATACCTTTGACGTTATTGTGAATCCCTTTTAGACCTAAAGAAACACCACCTGAGCCTCTCTGCTGTTCCAATGCTGTGATACCAGCTGTTTCGTCTCTCCAGGTTATAAAGAAATGGATTTAAATTCAATAGCTGCTACAGCCTGTCCAGATGTAGTTCTAAAGGTTAAAGAAGTCTTATAACTTCCCAATATTGTGCCTTTATAACCTTGGTTTGCTGTGTGGCTTCTTGGGTGCACAGTATCACAACCACTAGGTGGCCCAGTATCCAAAGGGAGCAGGGCTACTGTTCATAAATACCGCTAGGCACTAGTCCCCCAGAAAGAGACAGCATTGTTTATGAGACAACAGTCCTCCCTTCCCTAAGTGTCAATTATAAAAATGAGTCTCTAGGAGCTAAGCCAGCAGCAGAGACAGAATACTTCTGTTTTGTTAAAAGAACGGCTAGCTTTCATCAAGGATAAAATAGAAAGCCAACAATACGAGGGGGGAAATCTTTGTAACATCTGAGAGGTTATTGTAAACGTAAACAAGATCTATGATGGAAAAAATCACCATCAACATAATAAATTAACAGAGACTTACCAGATTGAAACTGTGTATCATTCATGCTTCTGGTGGAGCTCTTCTTCTGCTTCAGTATTTCAGAATGTATATCTTCATATCAACCTGCATTTAAAAAAAGAAAAAGAAAAAGAAAAAGAGGACATTAAAGTCTTTAGAGGAAGTAACTTAGGTAACTAGGTCAGAAATCTTCCAATGCATTAAAGTGACAGTTCATGTTGTTTCTTTCATTATTTTTAAATTTCTGAGGTTGAGTACATAGCACATCTTAGGAAGTGCCCTTAAGCACTCGTCAAACAGCCCAGTATAATCTGTTAAAGTTACATAAAGGGTCTCTCTAATGCTCCTCTATGTACCTATTTTATTAAATAATAGGGGAAGCTTTAGAACACTTGTATTCTTAGACAGTAGGTGGTAGGACCTGACATTTATGTACTGATGCAGATTATGAGAATAGATGCAGTCCTGGATGCTTCAATTATGTTCCAAAGCCCATATGCTATTACTGCAGACTTGTATACTCTGAGGAAGGACTTCAAATACAGCTAACTCCAGTGCATTAGCAAACAACCACACTTTTCTTTTTGAGCAACTAAATAAAGAGCATCAGAGATCTGAAGATACAAGAGGCAGAGATTGCTCACTAAATCGTCTGTCTTTAGGGTGTATCACATTTTGTAGTTTTCTGTACTCTAATTGGAAGTATCAGCACACTAAGGGTTAAATTGAGGATTTGGACGTTCTTTGGACTTCCTGAGTTGGAGGTGCTGGAAGAGTGAGTGAGGAAGGGAAGATATCTAGTGAGTAGGGCAGTAGCCTAGGACTATGGAGACCTGATTTCTATTCCCTGCTCTGCAACAGATTCTCTGTGTGACCTTGGGCAAGTCACTGTTTCTCTCTGTGCTTCAGGTCCTCATCTCTAGGGGGAGGGTAATAACACTTCCCTATTTCACAGGGATGTTGGGAGGATACATACATTAGAGTGTGATGTGTTCATATACCACTGTGATAGGGGCCTTTTAAATATAATAGATCAATCAATCCAACCTGGAACATAAAACCACAAGAGGGAATCCTTTCAGCCTAAGTAAAGGGTGGCTGGTTTTCAAAGCCCAAATATTTAAAAAATGGTTTCCTCCTTTCAATGAGTTCTGAGCTTGCTGTTGTATTTCCTGGCTGTTTTCTTCTGTGCACTTGGAGGTTTGAGTTTTAGCTCCTGGATACTTTTTTCCAGCATAATACTGCATATTGATCAACTGGACATGAATTTTAATGTCACTACAGTATTGCAAGCTGCACTGAGGGAACCATTGTGTAACCTGACAACAAGAAGAACCACATACTTTGGTGGATATTTGAGTATATTTGGGAGCCTTGGCATATAAAGGGGTTGATTAGGGTGGGTAAGGAAAATAGAATGGGTTTGTGTTCTACGTAGGAATACCAATGGCACTTGCAATGTCCTAGCACTGTAACCTGTGTTACATCTAGTATATTCATCTCCCTTCATTATACTGTCACAAACTGACCTGATAGTAAAATTGAAAGAACTCTACTGCATTTATCATACCACCCTTACTAATTTGAAGGGGATTATTTGTGGAGTAGATTGTTCCTGAAGATGAATAGAAGTGGCACTGGTGCTATATTAATCTTGCATCTCTAGGAGTCAGATTCTTCCTTCTTCCCTCATGGAAACTGGTACCTTACTCCTCGTGTAATATCACTGAATTCAAATCCACCATTCACCCGGAGTAAATAATCTGGTCTAAAGCCATCTTGAGTGGCTGCCTCCTCCCCCAGGCCTATATTGTGATGCCATAACTCACATAGAGTAGTAGCGTATGCCTTCTGTAGTCCAATCCTATTGACTTCAGTGGGGCTGTGTGTTCAGTAGGGTGATATGTGCTGTGATTAAGCTGGATGAAATTTTACTGATGAAACATTTTTTCCCCCTCACTAAAAAATAGCAAATTTTGACTGAGCAAAACATGTCACACATTTATGTCCATTTCAGCAATCTGTTTCATTTGAAAAAAAAATCTTATTTTGGGGGGCTACATTCACAAGAGAATTCTCTCTGGCCCATTGACCATTTAAGTATTTCTACAAAATGGAACAGCATCAACAGGAGAGATTGAGAGAAGCCTACCCCAGAATAGCCTATAGCCTGGTAGTTAGCATGCTCATCCAAGAGGGGGACCCCCCTGTTCCAGTCCCTGCTCCAGTAACAGTATCATTATTTATACAAAATGGAGCAGCTTCAACAGTACAGCTTGAGAAAGACCCACCCCAGAATACCCAATATGCTGGTGCTTAGGCAGTCAGCTAGGAGTGGGAGATTTGGGTTCAAGCCCCTTCTCCAGAGCAAGGATTCAAACTTGGGTCTCTCACAGCCCAGGTGAGTTGCCCTAAAAACTGGACTACTTGGGTAAAAGAGGGGTGCGGCCACTACCACCACCTCTCTTTTGGCGAATCTAATCTTTCATTTTCTTTGCTTGTATTCAACCTCTCACAATGTTCTGTTCAAACTGAAATGAATTTTTTCTGTCTTTTTCTATTTGATAAACATTTTTTAAAAATGGTTTTCAGTTTGACTTCAGCGGCCTTTATTTATTTACTTGTTGGAACTGTCAGCAAACAAAAAAAAATCAGTTATTTGGACAGTCAGGCCCTTATTGCACTTGTTATTGGTTCTCTTGATTTTTCAGTGGTTTTATTCTATTCCATGCTTTTAAAAATAGTTTCCCCTCATCCCCACCCCAGTAGATTTAAATATTCCCATTGGTAAAGTGCGCTCCAGGTCAGTCACTAGACAGAGGGGCAGATTTTCTCATGCACAAGAGCTGTGCTTTGGCAGGCAGAGGAATGTGTGTTCGGTAGCCCATATTATGGGGGGCAGAAACTACTAACAGCTCCTGCTGTGCAACTTACGTTGTGCCACTGACTTAGGGTCCTTAATGGTGTAGCGGAGCAGAGCTCCACCACAACTTCTCCCTGTCTCAGTACCTGCACCGCATACTGTGTGGGAGAGATGCTCAGCAATGGCTCAGATGCACCAACAGGAAGTTTCCCTGTATAGGAGTTTTCTACTGGCCACCTGTCACTCCATTACAGACCTTTGATGCCATTTGATTTCTGTGAAGGGGCTGTAACTGGTTTTGAGACTCTAGTCCAGGGGCAGGCAAACTTTTTGGCCTGAGGGCCGCATCGAGTTTCGGAAATTGTATGGAGGGCCGGTTAGGGGAGGGGGTTGTGGCCCGATCCCAACCCCTATCCACACACCCCCCACGGGACTCCTGCCCCATCCAACCCCCCCGTTCCCTGATGCCCCCCCCCCGGGACTCCTGCCCCATCCAACCATCCCTTCTCCCTGCCCCCGAACCCCCTGCCCCCCTGCACACCATCCAACCCCTCCTCTCATTCCTGACAGCCCCCACCCCAGGACTCCTGCCCCATCCAACCACCCCTTCTCCCTGTCCCTTGACTGCCTCCTGCTGCCCCATCCAACCCCCCTCCTTCCTGACTGCCCCCCAGGGACCCCTGCCCCATGCAACCATCCCTTCTCCCTGTCCCCTGACGCCTCCGGATCCTCTGTCCCTGACTGCCCCCCGCTGTCCCATCCAATCCCTCCTCTCATTCCTGACTGCCCCCCAGGACCCCTGCCCCCATTCAACACACCTGTTCCCCGCCCTCTGACGGCCCCGACCCCTATCCACCCCCCCACCCCGACCATCACCCTCAAACTCCCCTGCCCTCTATCCAACCCCCCCTGCTCCCTGCCCCCTTACCGCACTGCCTGGAACACCAGTGGCTGGCAGCGCTACAGCCGCGCCGCCCAGCTGGAGCCAGCCATGCCATCGCCACCACACAGTACAGAGATCGTGTCAGGCCGGGTTCTGCAGCCGCGCTGCCCCAGAAGCTCACAGCCCCGCCACCCAGAGCATTGTGCCGGCGGCGGAGTGAGCTGAAGCTGCAGGGGAGGAGCCGGGGGGGGGTAGCCTCCCGGGCCAGGAGCTCAGAGGCCGGGCAGGAGGGTCCTGCAGGCTGGATGTGGCCTGCGGGCCGTAGTTTGCCCACCTCTGCTCTAGTCCATGGTTTGGACCTGATTTGAGATATTTTCCCTAATTACTTTTAATATCCCTTTAAAAAGCATAATTTCTGAGCTCTAACGTTTTGGAAATAGCTTGTGCAGAATACATTGACTATAAATTACATAATCAGCCATGTATGCCCACTTCCTTTAAATTCATTCTCAACAATGTATGTGTGTATTTTTGCCTTACTGCTATCGCAATTTCAGAGCACACTTGTACACAAAGAGGAGACAATCCTGGTCTTGCAATTCTATTTTGGAAATGCTTTGGACATCCTTCCACATCTAGATACTGCTGCTTCTATTTCTGGGTACAACAAATGATTCAGTTGAAATTTTGCCCCAGTCCAAAGCAAAAGATATGAAGAAAAGTTATTTCTGAGCAGCTATTTTTGCATCCACCAAACCCAATTTGGTCCTTAGCATAATGATTGATATTTATTAGGCCAATGAACAGTCTGATGTTTTTACACGAGTATCTATTTTTAATAAAATCTACTTGGCTGGGATGTATCAAGTCTGGCAGAATGATTTCCAGTCTGTTTCATGAATGCCTTTGCAAATATTTTACTATCAGTATTAATCAAGGAGACTGGATGAACATATCCACATAATTCAACAGACTTTGCCTTATTTTAATGTTTTAGGAGGCTAGAGAACATCAGTGTTTAAAGTAATATATTTCCGTTAAATACAACATTTTGCTCACGAAATCCATGAGGGACTCTCACAACTTATACTGCACAGATTGTGGGCCCCGAAGGACCTCAGAATATTTTACAGAATTCTGGAGAAAGTCTCTGAAGACCATGGGCCAAATTAAGTCATGAAAAATCAAAGTGAATGGAAACGGTACATTGTGACTTGGACTGCACACCTACACGAGGGAGTAACTGCCCCAACCTCACACCCATTTCCAAAATAAAACAACCTACACGTACATCCCTAGACATGATCTACAGAACTTTGGTTTGAGCACACAGGAATAAGCAAGGGCTACATGCCTGCT